ACACGGATCCATTGAGCTTTAGGATGTCTAGAAAAGACTTAGGCATCATGCATTAAACCCTTAGTGCATATGAAAGAAAGTGATGGCAACGTTAAATGCAATTTGTTAACGCTAACGATTATCACCCCTGTCCATTGTATATTCTTTGTGTATATTGTGAATGATTGTGATGTAGAACATGGTAAGGCATGCAGATGGGGTTAAATCAACAGAATTGCGCAGCGGAAGCATGGTAAGGGTTCGAGCTGATCGGTAAGACAGTCCCTATGTCAATGATTAAATAAGATGTATGTTATCGATTGTTATTTGCGGATTGGAAGTTGCTTATCATCTGTTTAGATGAAGTGATTAAACCCTAGGTATGGAATAATCCTAAGACTAAAGAAAATGATATAGTCTTCCTTGTCACAACAATGTTTAGATCTGTGATTTTGTGCAATTACTGCATATGAGTATTTGATAAGATGTGTTTGTGGGCTAACTGAACTTGTGTTGAATACGAATGGCTGTTTGAAGAAGTTATGTATATAATGACCCCTCTTAGAATTGTGTGTAATTTGTTATGGAAGTCTGTAATTCGAAATTTGCATTCTGAAATATGAAATTCGACATTTGAAATCTCACACTACCATTTGTAATCTATTTTGTTATGTGTAAATTGTAATCTGTAATCAATATTTCTCTACGTGATATGTATAAGGAAACAAAAGGCTAAGGTTTATGAAATTGTAGTGTTTTGACTTGGCTAATGGGAAGTACAAACATGTTGAGTTCTGGAAACATGAAATGATGAGAGACATTAGAATTATGGTAGCTGACAATTCATGAAATTATTATGATTAAAATATTTAATGATTGATAACGAGCATGGAATTGGTAATCAAGAGTTAGAATGTTGAAATTGCTACCTGGAATGTTAATAAATACAAGTATCATGATTTGTGATCACATAATGTTCGGTAGAATTTTATAGAAGTTTAATGATATAGGGAAATTGTGTTTCTTTTGTGGACTGCCAATTGACTGAAGGACATAATTTTGCTTTGATGTGTTTTTATTCTGAACCTAACGTATTGTTATCATAAACCCACCATTATTGATTAAGGATAAAATATTTATATGAGACTTAATTTAAGGCTTGTTCCTTTATTATGATACGGAAAAGAGTGTTTATTAGAAAAAAAAAACCTTATGTGATCCGTGTTATTTAGAGATGTCATACCATCATTTGCATTCGGTACTTTTGTCAAATGATTTTAACAACAACTATGCTATACAATGTTTAAGGAAATCCATATTTTGGGCTACGAAATGTTTTATATGATAAGAATTTTCAGAAATAATAAAAATGCTATGAACTTCCGACATGTTTATGATATGATAAGCTTTCTGAATAATTTTCCCCAAAATGACTAGATACGCTACGGAACTCCGAATGTTCAAGGTATGACAAGTTTTCTGAAAGAGATATCTCGCTATGCATGAACGAGTTCTTCATTTGATAATTGATTGTGGCATGCTTGATGAAGGCTCTATGTTGAGCTTCAAGCTATTCTGTCTTATCTGTTATAAGTTGAATTGGAGATTGTTCTATCAAAGTTTAAACAAGTTTAATGCTATTGGGAATTATTCCATCATCTGATATCTTTGAAAGGTCTGATAAGTTCCTGTACTGTAATTTGGAAAGTATGACCATTAAGGTTTAATCTGTATTTGATTTTACTAATACTCTACTCTGAACATGTAATTCCTTGATATGAGATTTAAGTTGGTATTTGGAGTGTGTTAGGGATTTGATTTGAACTGATAGGTCTAATTTAGGTAATGAACAAAGAACCACGAAATCGTTGATTTAGAACTTAATTGCTACTGTGGGTCTAATCGTTGTACGAAGTATATACCTTTGACGCATGATTATGTCGTGAATGTTTCCTTAATCTTGAAGGAATTATGATAATGGGGGTTATTTGTGAACTTAAAAAGTTTGAATTATGTTTGATAGTTTATGAGTTGCATGCAAACGAATACTTGAAATGAATTCATTTCTGAATACCCTTAAGTTGTTCTATAGGAAGATATGATTTAAGGAGTAATAAATGAAAATGTTATGAAGTATTATTATTAATCGGGTTATCAATTAGTTAGTGGAGTTGGATTACTTGTGATTTTGGGAGCAAACTCCATCGAAATTAACTGTATAGAATTGTGCATGGCCAAATGATTGAGAAATGTTATATGTCCAGGACGGAACTAGACTTGTGACAGGTGAATCAAGTTTGGAGGACCAAACTTCTTAAGGTGGAGAGAATGTAATGACCCCAAAATGCGTATAGAAAGTCATCCTTATTTAGTTAGGGGTTAATGTGTTTTAATTCAACTATATCTATCAGAATTAAAGAATTATCTGCTGAGTTATGGCGACCTTTATTGTATCGGCTTGAAATTTTTTTTTTTTACCCTCCGCTCGAGCATGGGCTCATTTTTGACATTCTTAATAGTGTATTTGGAATGTTCTTACCTTATTTTGGGGTATTGTTTGAGATGGTGGTATGATGGTAAAGTAAGATTGGACCAACGAATTTAATTCGAATAGTTAACCTACGATTAGCCGTCATTCATTTGTCCTTTTCTTTTTCCACAGTTTGAATTTAAATGTGAGGTTAGAACCATTGAAAAGCTTATTTCCGGGGCTTCGATTTGGACACAAGAACGACCTAGAACGGAGTCCCGATGGGAGAGTTATACCCGTTTGAAGTTTTTACACCTGTGCTGGAAGCAGAGCCGCACGTGCGGGGAATAGTGCCGCACGTGCGGTCTGTGCGGGATTTTTGGACCATTTCTTGCAATTTCTTTTCCTCTCTTCTTCTCCCCTCTTCCATGTCCGAAACCCTAGCTTCCAAAACCTTGATTTCCTCCACTTTTATCAAGAAATCCTCCATAGGATGGAGAACAAGAAAGGGTCAACATTTCCAACCGATTGAATTTCGAAATTGAGGTGGAATCTCATCCAAGCTCGCTCCTTTGTTTGTTCTTCGAGGTAGGGGTTCTAGATCTCCTTAATACTTACATCTATGGATAGATTCATGGTAGCTTCATTAGATTAATGCAAAAATCTTCATTTTTATAATCTAGGGCATATTATGAGATTTGGGGATTTAGAGTTTGAGATGTTGGAAGTTAAATTGGTGGGTTAAAATGATGAATTGTGAATCCTAGGTGTAGAATCATTGGGAAAATTGGAATTCAAAGTGGTGATTTAAGAAGTGTGAATTTTTGTTAAAAATCTTCATTTTTTTCTTGAAACCCTAGGTTGATTAATGATGATACCCAATGATTTGGCCCAAATTGAAAGTAGAATAGTGAAATTGAGGTATTGAATTATATATGTTCAAGTTTAATTGGAATTTGGTTATGTTTGAAAATTATGTTTAAAATTTGCGAATGAATTTTGTTCTGAGCAATGTAAATCATGTTATAATGAGAAGGAAATTTGAGGAAATGATTTATTAATGATATAGATGACATAAACTCGGTTATGGAATGTTGAAATGGAATTTAAGAATTCCACTTGAATTATATTTCATGATGTTGAGTTGAATCATGTTGCTTATGTTGAATTGTAGTGATTATGTGAGATAGTATTGACTATGTTGACTTTGATTTTTGTGACCTAAAATGTGGAGTTTTCCAAAATGGGTTAATCCCAAATTATTTTGCTAAATACTTGTGGGCTTGCTTAGTTATTAAAATCAAGAGAGTGATTTATTTTTGGAAAAATGTGGAAGATGTCCATACAATTCCTTCCTATCTTGAAATCGAAGTGATTGGTTATAAATTCCATATTGTGTTTGCAAGAATGGTAATCTTCTATTTCTATATATAGATATATTGAGATGGAGGAAATTGTGGTATAATGGATGGGTAATGGTAGGCTTGTGAAGAATAATGAAGGAAGGAAAAAGAACTAATGACTAAGTTATATATGTGTACAGGGCACACTTCAGGAGGGCCAAGCACTCCGTTGTAGCACTGTGAGTAGTAGTACTTCGATGTATCTTTAACCGTTAATGATTATTGTTATTGACGTTATGATCTTCGTCGTAAGAATTATGTTGACATGTATGTCATGTATGCTACGTAAATATTGTGAAATTATGGTAACATCAAAGGTGTATGCTATACGAAGAACATTGTGAAATTATGGAAACACGAAAAAGGATTTGTGAAATATGCATATCGAATTTGTGAAGTATGGATCACCAACTTGTGAAATATGAAACGATGTGGCCGAGGGCCATTTGTGAAGTATGAATTTCCGAATTGTGAATTTGTGAAACTATGAAGCCAAGAGCCGAATTGTGAACCTATGAAACCCAAAAGCTAATTTATGTATATGTCCATTAATGAGGCCAGGGGCCGACTTGTGAATTTATGAGGCCGAGGGCCGACTTGTGAACCTATGTGGCCAGGGGCCATTTGTGAATTATGAATCTATGTGGCCAAGGGCCATTTGTGAAATATGAAGTTATGTGACCAAGGGCCATTTGTGAATTATGAATCTATGTGGCCAAGGGCCATTTGTGAAATATGAAGTTATGTGACCAAGGGCCATTTGTGAATTATGAATCTATGTGGCCAAGGGCCATTTGTGAAATATGAAGTTATGTGACCAAGGGCCATTTGTGAATTATGAATCTATGTGGCCAAGGGCCATTTGTGAAATATGAAGTTATGTGACCAAGGGCCATTTGTGAATTATGAATCTATGTGGCCAAGGGCCATTTGTGAAATATGAAGTTATGTGACCAAGGGCCATTTGTGAATTATGAATCTATGTGGCCAAGGGCCATTTGTGAAATATGAAGTTATGTGACCAAGGGCCATTTGTGAATTATGAATCTATGTGGCCAAGGGCCATTTGTGAAATATGAAGTTATGTGACCAAGGGCCATTTGTGAATTATGAATCTATGTGGCCAAGGGCCATTTGTGAAATATGAAGTTATGTGACCAAGGGCCATTTGTGAATTATGAATCTATGTGGCCAAGGGCCATTTGTGAAATATGAAGTTATGTGACCAAGGGCCATTTGTGAATTATGAATCTATGTGGCCAAGGGCCATTTGTGAAATATGAAGTTATGTGACCAAGGGCCATTTGTGAATTATGAATCTATGTGGCCAAGGGCCATTTGTGAAATATGAAGTTATGTGACCAAGGGCCATTTGTGAATTATGAATCTATGTGGCCAAGGGCCATTTGTGAAATATGAAGTTATGTGACCAAGGGCCATTTGTGAATTATGAATCTATGTGGCCAAGGGCCATTTGTGAAATATGAAGTTATGTGACCAAGGGCCATTTGTGAAATATGAAGTTATGTGACCAAGGGCCATTTGTGAAATATGAAGTTATGTGACCAAGGGCCATTTGTGAAATATGAAGTTATGTGACCAAGGGCCATTTGTGAAATATGAAGTTATGTGACCAAGGGCCATTTGTGAAATATGAAGTTATGTGACCAAGGGCCATTTGTGAAATATGAAGTTATGTGACCAAGGGCCATTTGTGAATTATGAATCTATGTGGCCAAGGGCCATTTGTGAAATATGAAGTTATGTGACCAAGGGCCATTTGTGAAATATGAAGTTATGTGACCAAGGGCCATTTGTGAAATATGAAGTTATGTGACCAAGGGCCATTTGTGAAATATGAAGTTATGTGACCAAGGGCCATTTGTGAAATATGAAGTTATGTGACCAAGGGCCATTTGTGAAATATGAAGTTATGTGACCAAGGGCCATTTGTGAAATATGAAGTTATGTGACCAAGGGCCATTTGTGAATTATGAATCTATGTGGCCAAGGGCCATTTGTGAAATATGAAGTTATGTGACCAAGGGCCATTTGTGAAATATGAAGTTATGTGACCAAGGGCCATTTGTGAAATATGAAGTTATGTGACCAAGGGCCATTTGTGAAATATGAAGTTATGTGACCAAGGGCCATTTGTGAAATATGAAGTTATGTGACCAAGGGCCATTTGTGAAATATGAAGTTATGTGACCAAGGGCCATTTGTGAAATATGAAGTTATGTGACCAAGGGCCATTTGTGAATTATGAATCTATGTGGCCAAGGGCCATTTGTGAAATATGAAGTTATGTGACCAAGGGCCATTTGTGAAATATGAAGTTATGTGACCAAGGGCCATTTGTGAAATATGAAGTTATGTGACCAAGGGCCATTTGTGAAATATGAAGTTATGTGACCAAGGGCCATTTGTGAAATATGAAGTTATGTGACCAAGGGCCATTTGTGAAATATGAAGTTATGTGACCAAGGGCCATTTGTGAAATATGAAGTTATGTGACCAAGGGCCATTTGTGAATTATGAATCTATGTGGCCAAGGGCCATTTGTGAAATATGAAGTTATGTGACCAAGGGCCATTTGTGAAATATGAAGTTATGTGACCAAGGGCCATTTGTGAAATATGAAGTTATGTGACCAAGGGCCATTTGTGAAATATGAAGTTATGTGACCAAGGGCCATTTGTGAAATATGAAGTTATGTGACCAAGGGCCATTTGTGAAATATGAAGTTATGTGACCAAGGGCCATTTGTGAAATATGAAGTTATGTGACCAAGGGCCATTTGTGAATTATGAATCTATGTGGCCAAGGGCCATTTGTGAAATATGAAGTTATGTGACCAAGGGCCATTTGTGAAATATGAAGTTATGTGACCAAGGGCCATTTGTGAAATATGAAGTTATGTGACCAAGGGCCATTTGTGAAATATGAAGTTATGTGACCAAGGGCCATTTGTGAAATATGAAGTTATGTGACCAAGGGCCATTTGTGAAATATGAAGTTATGTGACCAAGGGCCATTTGTGAAATATGAAGTTATGTGACCAAGGGCCATTTGTGAATTATGAATCTATGTGGCCAAGGGCCATTTGTGAAATATGAAGTTATGTGACCAAGGGCCATTTGTGAAATATGAAGTTATGTGACCAAGGGCCATTTGTGAAATATGAAGTTATGTGACCAAGGGCCATTTGTGAAATATGAAGTTATGTGACCAAGGGCCATTTGTGAAATATGAAGTTATGTGACCAAGGGCCATTTGTGAAATATGAAGTTATGTGACCAAGGGCCATTTGTGAAATATGAAGTTATGTGACCAAGGGCCATTTGTGAATTATGAATCTATGTGGCCAAGGGCCATTTGTGAAATATGAAGTTATGTGACCAAGGGCCATTTGTGAAATATGAAGTTATGTGACCAAGGGCCATTTGTGAAATATGAAGTTATGTGACCAAGGGCCATTTGTGAAATATGAAGTTATGTGACCAAGGGCCATTTGTGAAATATGAAGTTATGTGACCAAGGGCCATTTGTGAAATATGAAGTTATGTGACCAAGGGCCATTTGTGAAATATGAAGTTATGTGACCAAGGGCCATTTGTGAATTATGAATCTATGTGGCCAAGGGCCATTTGTGAAATATGAAGTTATGTGACCAAGGGCCATTTGTGAAATATGAAGTTATGTGACCAAGGGCCATTTGTGAAATATGAAGTTATGTGACCAAGGGCCATTTGTGAAATATGAAGTTATGTGACCAAGGGCCATTTGTGAAATATGAAGTTATGTGACCAAGGGCCATTTGTGAAATATGAAGTTATGTGACCAAGGGCCATTTGTGAAATATGAAGTTATGTGACCAAGGGCCATTTGTGAATTATGAATCTATGTGGCCAAGGGCCATTTGTGAAATATGAAGTTATGTGACCAAGGGCCATTTGTGAAATATGAAGTTATGTGACCAAGGGCCATTTGTGAAATATGAAGTTATGTGACCAAGGGCCATTTGTGAAATATGAAGTTATGTGACCAAGGGCCATTTGTGAAATATGAAGTTATGTGACCAAGGGCCATTTGTGAAATATGAAGTTATGTGACCAAGGGCCATTTGTGAAATATGAAGTTATGTGACCAAGGGCCATTTGTGAATTATGAATCTATGTGGCCAAGGGCCATTTGTGAAATATGAAGTTATGTGACCAAGGGCCATTTGTGAAATATGAAGTTATGTGACCAAGGGCCATTTGTGAAATATGACCAAGACAAGCCAAGAGGCTTAAACCAAGACTAAGTCAACCAAGCATCGCAAGGCTAAGAGGATTTAAAATAGATCTAATGCGAACCTAAATAACGCCCAAGGGACACCTAGATGGCATCTAAATGGCTCAAATTCAAAAGCATGCACAATGGCCAAGACATGGAGCATATAACACAAGCTCATAAAGCATCAATGGGACATCCCAGGAAAGCATACAAACATGTTAAAGGGACTGGAATAACATGGCAAATGGTCTCAACCCACTAAATTAAGGCAAGGATGCATGCTATACATTCCCACACTTAAGGTCAACAAACCAAAAATGCAAAGGGGCTATACTAAGCATGCCAAGATTGACCCAAACAACCTAGGATAGACCTCAAACATGATAAAATAAGCACAAAAGCTTCACAGAGTTAGGCCTAAAACATGCTAGAACAAAGGCTCACAACCTAAGGCATGTTAAGGCCTAAACATGGCATTACAAGGTAGGTATGCTAAGCATGCATGGTGTACCAAAACCAAAAAAAAAACAGAGGCATGTCATGACATAATAAGCACAAAAATCAGCTAAGGCATGGTCAACATGAAGCCTAGCTAGGTGCTCCCTCAAGAGGCCAAAAATGATCTTTTCAAGGACAATAAGGAGAGGGGGTGGCCCTCTCCTTCTTGGGACCTCAAGGCACCATCCTCACCTCTGAAATCCCTCATGATTTCAGTGGTGAGGAGGCCCAAACACCAAGGTCTTGGAGCTTACACAAAATAGCACAAAATGGAGCCTTAGAAGGCTTAGGAAGGGTCAAACAACCTCAAACCACAAAACACTGTAAACAAACTATTTAGAGGGCCTAAAAACAAAACTTTTTTATATTATACACTAAGCTCAAAAACAGTTCTAAGATAGGCAAAAATAGTAT